AAGCACGGGACCTAGAATATTGTTGTGACGATGGTTGAAGTAGTTTCATGAGAAGCACGGGACCTAGAATGTTGTTGTGACGATGGTTGAAGTAGTTTCATGAGAAGCACGGGACCTAGAATATTGTTGTGACGATGGTTGAAGTAGTTTCAAGAGAAGCACGGGACCTAGAATATTGTTGTGACGATGGTTGAAGTAGTTTCAAAGGAAGCACGGAACCTAGAATATTATTGTGACGATGGTTGAAGTAGTTTCAAGAGAAGCACGGACCTAGAATATTGTTGTGACGATGGCTGAAGTAGTTTCAAGAGAAGCACGGGACCTAGAATATTGTTGTGACGATGGTTGAAGTAGTTTCAAGAGAAGCACGGGTCTAGAATATTGTTGTGACGATGGTTGAAGTAGTTTCAAGTGAAGCAAGTTGTAAAGTGAATCGGGTTCAAGAGTGTTAGATGAAAGTGATGCTGAAACGATGAACACAATACTTGGTCAAGTACAGACTGTTAGATGAAAGTAATGGTGAACAACGAACTGTCAAAAAGTCTTGTTGTTTGAACCATGTAGATTGTCAAGGTGAAGCACCCCTAGTATTCCGGGTATAGAAAACACCGTTTCTTGTTTCTAAAGGAAAAATATAACTTGGGATTATACAATAAAATCAATTACACAAACGACATTCTCAGAACGAGAGTACTTTCGGAAAATCATCCTTTCTTCTGAATAACAAAGCTGTATTCAATTCTTTACTAAGAGATGACGTGTCAGACGCGATATCGCAAATTCGCTTTAATACAAAATAGAATGGGTTTTCCTATTTTGTATTAAAGCGAATTTGCGATATCGCGTCTGACACGTCATCCTATTTTGTATTAAAGCGAATTTGCGATATCGCGTCTGACACGTCATCCTATTTTTTAACATAAGCTTCTTCCTTTAATTCGGAATTACCTGTAACTGGTAAAAAAAATATGAAAAATTCAAACAAATAGGTTTAGTGACTCATGAAAGGATAACTTCGGTTTACCGAAACAGGAAAGATAAGAAGGGGGGGGGGGTAGTAATAGGAGCTTGTCAGACTTAGTCAGAATACAATACACACCGTCATCCACACTTGAGCCCGTGTCTACCGTGTGAATCGTCTGTTCTTCAATATTCGCCGAGTTCAATGTAAAACATGAGTCGCTAGACGTCGGTCTCTGCGGGAGACATGTATACACCTAAACAAGCCGCGAACATGCGGTCTCCTCGGTACATTGTGATCACGAGATTTTCTTCGAGCTCGTATTTCTTGGCCGTAGTAGAGTGAAGATTTTCCACAGATATCAGGTCAATGCTAATGGGCAGCTGGACCTTGTGGTATGGTCGTCAAAGTACTTGATTTATATTTTATTTGTATATAAACGAAACAGGGAACCTATATTTACCGCTAAAGACGAGGAACCAACCTCCTTGCTCCGTATGATCTGTTGTTGTGTACATTAATAAGGACAGTATTTTCTCAGTGATAAGAATCAATGTCGGTTTAACGTTTTGAACACGTAAACCACTGAATATACCTAATTTCCTGGGCTTGAAAGATGACACTAGATAAGACTGTTTGTTTGTAAAGAGTCTTTAGATCACAACATATTAAAAATAGTGAATTTCTTAGACGTCATAAATTTCGGTTTTAGTAAAACATATCGCTATGTGTCTCTCACATTCTGTAAACGTTTCGATTAGATACTGATGAATGGACGATAAAAGAAAAGAAATAGACAACACTCAGTCAGACAACGTCAGTTCCATCTCGCTAATTACAAAATGGTAGTGAAACAGACATCAAAACATAGCGTACATTTAAGTGATCATGTCTGCTGTTAGAGAGAAAACGTTGTACAGAAATAAATCTATTATCCCACAAATAGCTGTCTCAAAACTTCATATTGTTCCTAAGTTAAAAAGCAAATTAGTTTCCGGTGTGTTTCAACCAAGCTTCCTTTTCCCAGTGAGAACATAACCCACTGTTTTTTATAAATAACAACCCGCTGTTTTCTTATAAAGAACAACCCACTGTTTTTGTTATAAGTACCATAAACTGCTTTTTTCTTGTAAATGATGTTTATGGTTTTATATTTTCACATACGAAGTATGTTTGAATGCTATAGTAAGACTTGTTAATTGAGGTTTAGGCTCGGACAAACATTTTTAAAAAGCGCATGCGCAAAACAGATTTATTGTAGAATAATTAAGGGATAAACAAAAGGGAATTGTACTTTAAAATGTCAAATTCATTTTACAAGATTCCTTAATTTAAATTGTTCATCGTTAACCTTAAATTCTACAGTGATTTGTTATAATACTTATTTCAGACACTTTTCTTTTTACTCTCGTTACCAGTTGTGCACGATTTAAAGAATTATATTTCACCCTACTTGCTCAAACATAGAAACAAGCGGAAGCAAGGTTTATATAAACGTTTCTTAGGGCTTTTTAGCCCCCCCCCCCAGTGGCACAGCGGTATGTTTGCGGACTTATACTGCTAGAAACTGGGTTTCGATACCCGTGGTGGGCAGAGCACGGATAGCCCTTTGTGGTTAGTAACAAACAAACAGCTTAGCCCTTGATGTAATTAATTTTCATTTCCAACCACTTGCATCTACGTGACGTATTGATCTCCAAAAGTTTCATCTTTCTGACATGCATTCATAAAGTCGTTTCTCAATGTAATTACTTTTCGTATGACAATTGTAGCGAGGAAACAAAGTGTAACAATATAACTTATACCCTAACCAGCCAAGGACCGTAATTTTTAACCCTTATCAGTCCAGCTCAGCTATCATCACAACAGCATGAAACTATGTTAATTCTAGAAATTTTAATTGATTTTATCCAAAACTTTTACAATTTAGCAAATTAACACTAAAATAAACCTCGACTTTGATAGACACTCCCATTATCTGGTTGTCAGATAGAGGTGGTTTCATTTCAGATTTCGACCTTAGTCTGAAGATGCTGAATACACGTTTGGTGCTATTTATTCTGATAATATTTGATACGTTAAATTGAAATTTTTTCATCCAACATATAAACTCACGATT